GAAGAGGAGATACCTCCCCATTTTTTTAAGGTACCTACTCTTAGTATTATCCTCATCATCTTCAGTATATGTCTGGCTCAGAAGAGACACTTAGCTTTTAATATCCGAACTGTTGTTGCAAAGTTGTAAGATGACTTGCTCTCAGAATGAATCTGAATCTCTTGATGAGTATACTCTTTTTTGCTATGCCATTTAAGTCTGTTTTCTTCTTAGAGTCGTGTACTAACACCCTTGGAAATTAATTTCAGGCAATTGCAGCAAGAAAAGAGACGATCTTTGTTGCCAATCTCTCTCCCCAAACTAGAATGTTCAATATGTACGTAAACACCTTGGAGATTGTTCTCGGTGCAACTTTTTCATGACTGATATTTTATCTTCCATTTCTACAGCATCAAGTTCTTCCAAACCATTGGGGCTGTTTCTAGTGTTCGACTTATTGTAAACCACGAGGGCAGGCATGTTGGTTTTTGCTTTGTTGACTTTGCTGATGATTACGATGCAAAGATGGTGAGAGTAGTTTTTTTACCAATGATGAAAAAAGTATCAAAGGAATTTAAACAGTATACTTTTGATGAAAAATATACTATTTTTTGAAAGTATGATAACTGATTAAATCTTACGTACTGTAGGCGCTGGAAGAGTGGAATGGTGAATATTTGCATGATCATAGCATTTTTCTTGAAGGGGCTAAGACAGCTCCGTCCTCTCCACGGCCCAAGTAATTTAATTTTCCATGTTATGGAGATTTGCTTTTGTAACAGTGGTTGCAAGTTATTGCTAGAGTTTTGATGCCATTACAGAAGACCAATTATACTATTTTTGTTGGTCAGGTACAGCATTGCAGAGAAGCTTTGGTAAAGGATTTAACTACTTGCCTCATTAGTTCGTTACCAAGTGCACTTTGGGAGAGGTTTTTGGGGTACATGGAGAGATCACAAGGGTTTTTTGATATTCCAGGTATGAGGACAACCTTCTGCAAAAAAGCCTTGACAAGACACAAGAAGGAAATGATAAAACTCCCAATGATGTTGAGGTACCTGTTCTTGTTCCTTCAAATTGTGTGGAGATCAGAATAAACGCCTAGCGCTGTTGCCACGGAGTTGACTAATTATGGGGATGAATCTTTAGATGAGTCTCTTTTTTTGTTGTCCTTTTCTATAGTCATGCTAACACACTTGGCTGTTAAATTCACTTAATTCAGGTAGTTGCCCTAAGGGAAAAGACACTCTTTATTGACAATCTCTCTCGCGAAACCAAAATATCAGACATGTAAATAGCTCCTTTAATTTCCTCTTTTGTTCTTGGAGCCAGTTTTTCATGACTAATTTTTATCCTCTATTTTGACAGCATCAATTTCTTCAAAGATGTTGGAGAGGTTGTTCATGTTCGACTTGTGGTAAACCCAAAGGGTAAGCATTTGGGCTATGGTTTTGTTCAGTTTGCTTCTGCGGAAAAAGCCAAGAAGGTGAGAATAGTTTTGTAGTAATGATGAAATGTATTTTTAATAGTCATTTGAAAGTGGTGTATACAAAATTACACAAGTAGTTCTTTGTAAGTACCAATGTTGATTAAATCTGTTGTATTGCAGGCACGGGAAAGGAAGAGTGGTGAATATTTGTGCGGTAATTATATCACTCTTGGCGTGACTGAGATAGCCCCACAAGAACCACGACCCATGTAAATTGATTTTCCTTGTTATGGAGATTTGTATCTGTAACTTACTGCTTGAATTTTGATGCCACTACTGAAGACTGATGCTATTATTTTTTTAATTAGGTATTGCATAGATCACAAGGTTTGGTAAGTGTTATGAATATTTGCTTCGTAAGCTTGTTTTCAAGAGCACATTGGATGAGGTTTTTGGTATAGATGGAGGGATCACTAGGGTTTTTGATATTCCAGGTACGAAGACTACCTTCAAGGAGAAAGCCTTCTGATTGAAGAAGATGAGGCGGTGGAAGGACTTGATGCATTTGTTGAGGTACCTGTTATTATCTATTCAAATTATAAGCATAGTTGTTACGGCGGCTAGGCGAGGCTGGGCGCTAGAGTACCTTCCAATCGCCTAGGCGATTAGGCGCCCGCCTAGGCGTCCGCTGGGCGAGTGGGCTATGGCGGCCCTAATAATTTTATTGATACTGATGTAAAAGCATATATCATGAAATAATTAATTTTATAGGTATGAAATACATTACTTAGTATATACTTTGTAGAAAACAAGAATAGATAACACATTACTTTAAAAAAATATAAAGTATATGTCCTTAAAAAAATACACAGTCAAAGCCTGTTAAAAAAATTCCGCATGTTTCACTCACAAAAAAATAAAAAATAAAAAAAAGAAACACTTTACTTTGCCTAGTCTGTCGCTAGTCAAAGCCTCAGGGGTTTCCGTCAAAACCGAAGGGTCGCGTACTCGCGTAGATCCGGAAAATTCACTAACGCTAGACAAAACCCTAAGGGATCTCCGTCGATCGCGATCCAATAGATTTACGACCTCACGATCTAAATCACAGATCCGGACAATTCCTATGGATTTCCGATCTTCCTTGCGATTCAGATCTCAAATCGACGCCAAATAGATGCCAAACAGACGCTAAACTGAAGCCTCAGTCGCCCAGGGAAGAAAAGGCTAGGCGACCAATTGGGCGTCCACAATACCTCGCCCAGACGCCTAAGCTTCGCCTAGGCGACGCCTTGATAACTATGATTATAAGAAACACTTGGCGTTCAATAACAGACCTGTTGCTACAAGGTCGAAAGACGATTTATTCAGGCGATGAATCCTGCATTTATTGAAATGCAATTTAAGTCTTTTTCTCCTTTGAGTCGTGCTAACAAATTTGGCTGTTAAATTCAGGAAGCATCTGCGAGAAATAGGACAGTATTTATGGACAATCTTCCTGCTGGAATAAAAATTGGAGATATGTAAGTAGCACCTTTTATTGATTTCGTTCTTAGAGGTAGTTTTCCAAGGCTGATATTTTATCTTCCACTTATACAGTGCCCGTTTCTTCCAAGATGTTGGAAAAGTTAGTGTTCGATTTATTGTAGATTGTGAGGGAGAATGTGTGGGATGTGGCTTTGCTAAGTTTGCTTCTGCCGTCGAAGCAAAGAAGGTGAGAGTAGTTTTGTGGTAATGGTGAAAAGTATGTAAGTAATCATTTGGAAAGTAGTTATTTGAAAGTACGATCGCTCATTAAATCTTACATACGGCAGGCGCTGAAAAAGAAGTGTCGAAATAGATACCGCAGTCGTTATATTTATCTCGGCATGGTTGAGATAGCACCGTACCCTCTCCGACCCAAGTAAATTATTTCGTCTATATTATGGAGATTTGTTTATCTTACTCGATTTTTTCTTTTGAAAAAATTGTCATTTCACAATATTAACGCGATTATTTTTGTTAAATAGGTACAACCTCGCAGAGAATTTTTGGTATGGGATTTAACTATTTTCTTTTTGAGTTTTGTTATCAAGAGCACTTTGGGTGAAATTTTTTGGTTTACATGGAGAGATCACAAGGGGTTTTATTTTCCAGGAATGAAGACTTCTCACGGAAAGATCGCGTTCGGGCAAAAGAAAATAATATGAAGAAACAGCCTTGTGGTAAGAAGGTTACTTTCTACTACAATGATGATTGATTCATAGAGGAAGATGAATCTCTTTGGTGTTTTAAACTTATGGTCCAGTTAGTATGCGCTAAAAAGTGCTTAATTTTGAGTGTTTTGGTGTGAAATCTTAACCTGCCTTGATTAATTTGGTTGACAAAATCATCATAAGATTTACTATTTTCAAATTAAGTCTTAGCTTGAATTGATAAGTTAGCTTGATAAATATAGAGTACTTTGTATTTGTGCACATGGAACAGAATTGTTGTTGCATAGTGAAGCTCATGAGAGCATTTATGTTGGTGTATAATGAAGCTAAAACATGTGGGTTATTTCTCAAATGGTAATTACTAAAATGGACAAAGTGCCGTAGAGTTCCCTAAACTATCTAAATTCCAAATCCTTGTACTCAAAATTAAATCAATTTAGTCTTAATTGTATTTTTTTTGTTCAATTTGGTTAATCTCTTATGTATTTCCCTAATCTTTTTATATAATAAATCATACTTTTAATCTTATTTAAGTCAATATATAATACGGAGTAAGTTATTTTATTACTAATTTTTTTCATAAAAGTGAATAAAAAAATGTATGTTCTTGGTTAAAATATGTTCTTGGTTATACTATGTTATAGTTTTGTATTATCTATAGTAAAACTAGACTTCGTTAACATATTGGGGCAATATATAAGAGATGAGTGAAGAGGATTTGATTGAACAAAAATAAATAGTACAAGGACTAAATACATTTGGTTTCGAGTGCATGGGACTAATTTGAACGTTTTTAGATGGCATATTAAAATTAATTTCTTGATTTGAAACAAATTGTCATTGAAAACGAGAAATCATACTCTAACTTTGAAAGGATATTATTCTCTTTAAGAAAATCGATTCATATTGTGCATCTTGCAACAAAATAACAACTTTTTTTAGAAATTAAACTAACATTGAGAATTATCATTTTTACCTCAAACAAATTGTCATTGAAAACAAGAAATCACACACTTACTTTGAAGGGATATTATTCTCTAAGTGTGTATAATTTTTTTTATGATATGAAGTTGTAGAATATCATAATTTATAAAAAAACAAAACTCTAATTATCGCATAAAAAATTATAGTTGATTTAATTGTATTTTGATGTATTATAATTGAAGATTAAAGTGTTTAATTTGATTTTAAAAATTAAAAACAGATAAAGATATATATATTTGACGAATGCGGATACGGTTTTGATTTTAAGTATTCGTCAAGATCTGTATCTGAATTTGATATTTGAAGAAAATAAATAGATACAGATTTGGTAATGGCGCATCCGATCCAATTAATATTCGTTTACACATTTAAAAATCTCTTCTGATACTTGTTTTGTCAATGAACATTCTGCAACTACGATCAACATTGAGGGGCTATTCACAATCTTGAGCCATCTTGATGTTTTATCCGAGCCGGACGGCTTGGCGGGGAGTTCCTCCTGCTAAGGTGGGCGGTTATGGGTAAAGAGTCTAGCCCATCAAATCTGGGTCAGGCAAGTCATGCCCATGTAAATGGGCTAATAATTTGTATCAAGCTTGGTCCAGATCTGTCGTCTTTATTTGCACAGGTCTACTATCACATTGGGAAAATGGTCCCATTTCCACCTGCTTCTGTCATCCGACATATCGACGACAACTGCATACATGTAATCAACTCCGTGTGATTTGATGATGTGGCAATCAAAGTTTGCTTCATCGATCTGCATGAGATTGCGGTATCTCCATAAGTAAACACATATCCTATTTGAGATTTTGCTTTTTGCGTATTAGACAAATATCCTACATCAGCGTATCCAACAAGAGTGACCTTGACATCTTTGCGGTAGAATAAACCAAGGTCGATGGTGCCATTGAGATATCGCAAAATGTGTTTAATGTCATTCCAATGTCTCCTAGTCGGGGTCAAGCTATGTATGGCTAACAAGTTCACTGAGAATGTAATGTCTCGTCGAGTGTTGTTTGCTAGATACATCAAAGCTCCAATGGCACTCAAGTATGGTATTTCTGGACCGAGTATTTCTTCATCATCTTTGGTAGTCCCAAAGTGGTGAGATACAAAGCCTAGAGGGGGGTGAATAGACTTTGTTACAAATTTAAAACTTTTTTTTTCGTTTCTTTTGAAAACGTGAAAATGAGTGTTAATCTAGAGTTCTTGTGAACTTTAAATTACGTGTGGAATTTGGTGGGTAGTGTGAGTAGTAATCAATATGGATGAGTCAGTTTTCACAGTTAATATAATTGCAAGTAAGAGTAAAGATAAAAGAGAGAGACACGCAAACTTTAACGAGGTTCGAAGGTGGAGTAATCCTTCTACGTCCTCAAAATCCACTATGTAGTTGGTTGTTGAATAATGAACCAACAATTACACTTGTGTGAATTTCTGTACGGTATATCTTCGCAAGGCCAATGTTGCTACTGCACTCGTGCTGGCTTTGTTGTTCCTTCGAAGGTCACGCTTCTTCAACAACTGCAAGATCCGAACAATAGGACTTGCAAGATCAACTTTTAAGAAAGTTGACCTACCCCCTTTTAATCAAGAAGTTTGATCAAACGTTATATCCTTCAACGTGGTGTGGTACTTGAGGCAAGGAAACCTTCAAGTGTTTACACTATAGCTTTTTGGAAGGAGGGGAAGTTTACTTCTGGATAATGAGTTTAGAATTGTCTCTTTATCAAGCTTTATGGCTAACTGTGAATAAGATAGCTTTGTTGTTAGAGATTGCTTCGTTGTTCATGTACTTCCTTTCTTCTCCAGTCTTCCAAGGATGCTATTTATAGTTGGATTGGATAATCTATCCGTTGAATCAAAATAGACTATCCGTTGCATTTGCTGGCTTCAATTTTGAATGAAGATTGTGATTGAGGATTCCTCATTGGAATGGGTGTTTGGACATACCCAATTGTTTGAGGAGGGATTCCTTTTTCCACAGAATCCAACATATCGGCTTCCTCCGTTGTTACATGTTTGGAAGAGGACCTGAGACTTATTTAGGCTCACCCTCAAGCCAAAGGCTCAACTAAAGTTGTCCAGACAATCTTTAATTGTCAACATCTAGTCATTAGAGGCTCCAGCAAAAAAAAGGAGGGGGGGGAGGACCTGGATGTGTGAATCCCTTGTTGAGTTGCTTCTCTAATGAGATGCTTAAATCTCTCCAAGAAAAGGACAAAGAGATAAAGAAATATAGAGTCTCCTTACCTAATTCCCCTAGAAGGCTTAATCCACTCAAGTTGGTGGCTTGCTGCCGGTTCCAAACACGCTCAGTCTAGCTGTTTCAACACAAGCAATAATATTTCGAATCGAGTCTTTCTCAAGTGTGTCTTTAATAAAATTCAAGTCTGTTATATGGCTTCTCAATGTCAATTTTGAGGGTCAAATACTTTTTACCTTTTCGAGCAGTAGGAATGGTATCTAAACCTTTCTATAAATGAGTATATTTTTCACAATTTGTCTTTCAAGAACTAACTTTGTTTAGGCCGAACAAGGTCTTTGAGGATGAGTTTCATTCTATTAATCATAGTTTTTGTGATTATTTTATAAATCAAATTACAAAGCCTTAATAAGTCAGAACCGATTCATGCTCTCAAGACTAACAGTTTTAGGGATGAGGGTCACAAGAGTGTCATTGATGCCTTCTTCCAAGTAACCCGTATTAAAATAACTAATATCACAACCGTGCGTTATACTGGTCACATTTACATTACTAAAATAAGATCATTTTTAATGATAAATTCTCATATGTAGTAGAATATAGAAATTTTATTATTTTAAGATACAAAAGTTTTTTGCTTAGAAATTTCAAAAGACTTTTTGTAAACTACATTATTCGTACAATTTATGGGAACATTGTATTCGTTACATATCGGAATCTTCAAGCCACTATAATTTGTTATTTTTGAAACTGCAACACACAATTTCTTTATAACTTACCTTTATTATTATTACGTTTATAATTATGATTATTATTATTATACGGTACCATGTTATTCCGTATTCTTTTTATTCTTTCACATGCTACCTTTTCTTATTATGCACGGTACCAAAATCTATAACGTATGAAATTACCTTATTAATAATTAATAATTAAAAATTAATAACTAATAATTAAGGTTTCACATGTTATCTTTTTTATTGCATGATACCAAAAATATAAGGTATGAAATTACCTTATTAATAATTGATAATTAAGTTTATAATATATAATTTTGGTAAAAAAATATAAGGTGTGAATATTTTTTTAAAAATTAAGTCAACACTTTCATTTATTTTGTACATGGTAATAGCACAAAACTAACATACCTTTATAACTATTACGTTTATAATTATGATGATTATTAGTATATGGTACCATATTATTTTCATATTATTATTATTATTATTCTACATGTTACCTTTTTTATTACACGGTACCAAAAAAATATAAGGTATTAAATTACCTTATTAATAATTAATAATTAGTATTATAATTTATAATATTGGTAAAATATATAAGGTATGAGAATACATTTTTTTTAAACCAAATCAACACTTTCATTTACTTTATACACGATGATAGTACAAAACTATATAATGGAGAATTTCCCTGTTTTAAAGGTCAAATAGCTCTGGTGCCCCCTGTAGTTTGGAAAAGTGGCATCAATACCCATATATTTTCAAAACTTATTTTTAAAGTCCTCGTGATTTCAAAAAGTTGCATCCACACCCTCTCTGATCATTTTCCGGTCATTTTCCAGCGAAGGGCGGCATTGGCACGTAATTTCTAAAACATAGGGGGCATTCATGCTCATTTCTTATTTTCGTTTATTATTTGTGTTTTCCCTTTTTTTTAAAATATTTTCTATCTCTTTTTCTTATTCCTAGAAATTTTTTTAAAAACATATTTTCAATTTTTTATAATTTTTTAAAAATTCCAAAATTCTTTGTGTTTGGAATAAAAATAAAAATAAAAAAATTAACATACATTACCTATATCTCAAATTAAACATTTTAACTTTTTGTTACTTAGAATAATTTTTTGGAAAATTCAAAAAAACCCAGAATAAAAAAATTAAAATATGGAAAAACAAAATGAAAAATTTAAAATACGCAAAAAAAGTCTTATACAAAAAACAAATTAGACACGCCCAAAAAAGTCCTTAGAATTGAGATGTCCAAAAAGGATATTCATTTTTGTTTTTATATAAAATTTTTTCTTATTTTATTCCTTATTTTTTGAAGTTCTAAGAAAGATTTACTTTTTTCAAAAAAAAAATTGTTAATTAAAGACGTACATATGCATTATATGTTAATTTTTTCAA